GCTATAGATAATAGACAAATTTATTTTTATTTTCTTCCAGATAAACAATAGCATCATGATTGTTAAATCTCTTGCTGGCTATAATATGCCTTATTGTGAAGTGTATTTCAATTTAAAATATCTGATTACAAGATTTGTTTTCAATTTGTCACATTTCATTATGTTTCTGTTTGGTTTTAGCAAAGAAATTTTATATTTTCGTTTTACCTTTGATGTCATCAGTTTAAAAACTGTTTAAACCTAATTTTAAAAATATCCCATTGCTTCATTTACCGATCATTTAGTATCCTGAGAGTAGAGTCTACACTGTTTTCTGTACACCGATTATTTCCATAAAGTAAGAGAAAATCCTTAAGTCGACATTTATTAGTACATTCAGGGGTAAACGAACATGAAACAGACATCAAAACATGAAACGATGAGAAGTCTACTTGCAGTTTAAAAACATCGGTAACGTGTGACAAATAACAAACTGACAAAGCAAAAAAATAAAAATTATTCACACACTTTTAATGATTTAATGCCATAAAACTATATAATTTAACAACAAAATATTTTGTCCAATAGTTTATACTAAAAATCATTTATAGTCTTTTTGTACAAACAAGGCCAAAAGGAACCAAACTTCCAAGCACTAGAAAGTTAGTGTTGGCAACACAAAAGGTTTTATTTAGAAACTCTTTCCCCAATGCCATCTTGACAGACAGAGACAGAGACACGCAATTGCAACCGAGCCATGCAATAACAGGATTATTGATCTGACACCTTCTCCCACTCTACGCCAAACTTGGGAAACATTCACAGCCCTCGGAGAACTTACGAACTTACAACTGTCGTAATGAGTTGCAGTCATCTTTGGATAGGATTTAATGACATTGAGGCAAAACACTTGTTTTGATGTTTACTTTTAGATTAATTCCGTCTTATGGTGAATGAATAAGTCGGAAAATCGTTTCTATTGTAGAACAAAATTGTGACAACTGATCAAATTAAAATTTATAAACTTCTTCTCTTTCTTGCAATGTCACTTACATTCTGGGTTGCTTCAATCATTAATGCTCATCATTAATCATCATCATTGCTCATGATTAATGGAATCATTAATACTGTACTTCAAATTAGAACCATTTTGGACTAAATTTCTGCAATCTTAACGAGCTGAGTGTAAAAAGTAATACAAATAAAATCAAGTGTTCATGGAAATTGAGGCAGAGAGTCTTGAAATTAGAATTTTCTATCCTAAGGTTTAAGGTTTAAATAAGAACATAAAAAGTAATAAAACATTTAAAATCAAAATGACGAAAAATGAAATACGTGGGTTTATAGTAAGACAGAATATTCTCCATCAAATTAAAGTTTCTACTGTTTAAACACAAAGTATTTAAAATGGTTGTAAAAAACAACTTTTTCTATCTGAGTATTTTCAATACACTTAAATGTGTACAATTTACCTTTTTTCAAACTAACAACACCAAACAACATGTTTTGAATCATTTGAACATTTTGTAACAAAACAAACCCTATAACACACCCAGGCCTGTCTTTACAAACAAGAATAGTACTTTGGTTTAGAATTTTAGTTATTTTAGTTTTAATGCCAGAGCCATCTTGATTGTTTTTCCTTTGACAATTGTCATGAACTTTGTAGTTTTTATGGAAAATAAATCATTCATTTAATTTAATATGCATATACAATTCGGATTTTTTTTTTAAACACTGAGTTTTACGTGTTTAAGTAAAACCAAAGGTACAACTATTTAAACTAAAGTCAATGTTTTTTTTCCTTTTATCCTGGCTACTACTAACCAGTATCAAAAAATTAGAGGATTTATGAAACAGAATCCGTCAGGTTTGTTCCTATATGTAAGGTTTAACCACAAGATTTTCTGCTCAATCTAGCATTTTTTACAAGACAAAATTAACGGCTTTATCTTTTAAAGGTTCTCACGATGAAAAGGATTCTAAATGAACAGGATATCTTCTACAAAACATGAACACAGGTCTTTAAATTTTACCATACAATAGCACCAACACGGATAATGTTAAGTAAGAATCTATTTAAAAACTGTAAACCTACCCGTAACATTTTTTACAGAAATTAATATTTTTACTAGTCTCTCAAATTTAAACCAAACAAAAAATATTTTACATCAGCCCTCAAGTAGACGTTTAGTGGGGAGGAGGAAATGGATGTAAAAGCCCGATGTGACATTGGGCAGTTTACCACCACTCGAGGGGAGATTTCACCCCTACCCCATGTCTCCCCTTCCCGATAAAACGCTAATTGAGTTGTTATATTCATTGCTCGCTGAAATCACCACCACTCCGGCTCTTATTAATAAGCAACGGTAATGCTTCGATAAATCTTAAAGTGAACTTTCCACCCACGGATTTATAAAGATCTCTTCCGAGTTTATTCCGTTGATTTTATCAGGGTCTAGAAATTATGTTAACTTACTTATAATGTATCTTACGATTGGATGTTTAATTTTAGTTTACTAGGTCCCTAACCACTCAGTAACCCACTACATCATCAGAGATTCTCACATAAGTTGGACATTTAAAAACATATTATTACTGATGGTTTATAGGCCAGCTTATACAAACAAGTTCCAAGGAGATTTCCTCTTTAGTTTGATTTGTTTCATTACAATAAAGTCTTTAACTTTACTAAACTCTAACAGAAGTAATGAAGAAACTTGCTACAAACACCTTGCCAAAACGAAGGTGAAACTATGAATATGCAAAGTAAAATTAAAATATATTAATTGTTCATTTATTTATTATTAATTATTATTTAATTAATATTTAATTTCAATAATAACCATTCATCTTTCATTATACTATTCATCCACCAAGAATCGAGTTGTTACAGTTTAGAAACAGTTTAGAAACACAGGAAATTATAAACAAAATTTTCACCCGAAAAATTCTACCGAAATTATTTTTAATAACTTTTTAAATAGTAAAAGTAGAAATTATTTACAGTGGCCAGTTGATTTTGCCAGACTAATCATCGCAAGTACTGATGACATTCGTTGTGCGGAACTATCCATATCGTAATTGAATCGGAATTATTAATGACAACTGAAATATTGATGGATCACAATCGACACTTTTGATGGCACTTTAATGGACCACATAAACTAATCATGGGAACAAAGGATACCAATTTTGGTATCCAACAATATTTTGTTGGTGGCAAAAATTATCTTTTTGGTTGTTTCAGAAATTAATCATAAAATTTGTTTTTACACAAGAGGTATTTTCGACTTAAAAATGTTCATAACATGAAAGAATTATTCATCCTTTGAGGTCAATGACACGTTGTTGCATATTTTAATCTGGATATGAGAGAAGAGTACCTAGTACAATTTATTTTCAAATATCAGAGTAATTATCAATGAATGGACAAGCTGCAGCCAGTAGCCAATTTTTAATTTGTAAAGATCATAACAATGAATGAAGGTCGGTCATAGAGTGAAATACTACGAGTAAACAGTTTTTGATACAATGATAGTTTACAATCATTTGAACTTTTAGTTTGGTGTAGCCTACTTAAAAAAATATTTATAGAACAGTTAACACAAAGGTTTTTGTAAATTTTAAGTTTAGTCAGTCAACGATGGAATGTTCAGTGAAGTATCTTTGTGTATAGATGCTTTGTGTATATCTTTGTTACAGAGTACCTACCAGCAGTTTCTTTGGTCTGGACCAATAATTAAAATCCCAATGATCAAAAGACAACAGCTGGGTTGAGTTTTAGACAATCAAAAAGCAACCTACTTATCTCAGGTTCAAATCAGATACCTTCCGATTATTAGCAATAATGCCCAGTCTACTTTGCTTTACTATTTTTTTCCTCAATGGTTTGGTATTTAATTCTATGAAGCATTATTTATCAATTCATTATTTATTTGTTTTCTTTAGTAGTATTTATATAATTCTATTTCTTTAGTAGTTTAGAGTTATGTAAGTTAGTTATTTTATTTTTTTTAATTATTTCTAAATAAATTCTACTAACAATTGTATTTGAACCTAAAAACTGCTAGAACAAATCATTACTTTTTGAACCGAAGCTTTTTTTTACTTTTGAGAGACAAACGTCATTTTTATGTTTCTGAAAAACAAATAATTGAATCCAAGAAATGGTAACAGTATGTTTCATTTCAGCTACGAAGCACATTCACGTTTCCTCCTCACGTCAGACATTACGACCCATTCTCACCAGGAAATAGACTGATTCCATTTCGACAGAATGGAAATTGTGAATACGATATTGATGATCTTTGTTTATTTCGTTCAGCAAGAGGAAATGTGCCCCCTTGTTGGAACTTGCCTGCACGAACGTTGGAACATTCGTAATGTTCGGTCGTGATCTCTTTGTTTCTGGTTGTTTATGAGTGACAAGCTTCCGCGACTGACAGGCTTTCGGTGATTTAAAACTGTCAACAGGAAGAGTGAGCAGCGCTTCAAAATATTATTACATCTCGGGACATTTTTTTCATTCTTTAGTACATTGATCAAACCATCTATTATGGGGAAAAACGTTAAATTTTGAGAAAAAATAGACTTGACAATAACACAACAATAACCTACTCAATTTTACTAGTTGTAAGGGGTAGCTTTATTTTATTTCAAAATAGTTTTGAATCTTAATAATTTTCTACGATTAAATTATTTTGCAAAACACAACTATGGGAAGGTTTTATTTAATATCTATAATTTTTAATATTTTGTAGTGGGGTTTTGTCGCCGGGACTCCTTACTTTAAAATCAATTTATTCAATTCCAAGCTGTTACATGAAATTCTAAAAATATTTGATTCTTTGAAATTCTCTATAATGTGATCATTTTGGAAAAAGCACAATTTTGACACGCCATATTGCATTTTATTCGATTGTTAAAATAAAGAATTAAATAATAAAACTATTTGTGAAGATTTCGTAATTTGAATTGTACAACAGCTAATACTATTGATCTAAGAGATCTTTACTTACGTGTGGTTGGATTTTCTCATGTTTCCGCCTCTTCACTTCAGGATCGACCGGTGACCTTGGGCGATACTTCTCCCCGGGAGATACGGAACTCCTCTGTCAAACACAAACAGGAAAAACTGTAAGATAGATGACTCAGAGCTCTATTTGAAGAAATCGACAGTGTTTTGTTACTTGATCTATCTTACTAGCCAGTTTCAGAAAAAAAAGGTTGATTCGAGGTCAAGTCTAAAAACAAAAATTTTATTGTATTAAATAATTTGAACCATTTCCTAAAAGAGATAAGGCTTAAACTACCCAAGATAAGCTCATTATCTTATTTAGCTGTAAAAAGGCTAAAAGGGAGATTTTTTTAGTGATGACATTTGGCACATTATATAGGCCTAATTAACATCTTGCTAAGGGGTGCTTTAAACATATAAGAGTTCCAGGGAGAGTTAGGAGATTAGCTGAGGTGGGTCGAACATAGCAGACATAAAAATCTTAATAAAGCACACAAAAGTTGACTGATGTGTATTATAAGCCAGGCTGTATATTTTATTGTAATTTCCTGTATCCTTACAATATAAAGACTACTTGTAGACAATGCTCTGTATTTTGTTCATTTTCAGTACGGTAATCCTGCACTGGCATAGTCGTGAACTAATGTATTGATGCAAATTACTATAGCTACATAACTTAACGATTACACACCAAAATTAACAGTAGAAAATTCAAAATATCAAACATACCAGTCTGTCATCAGACAATGTAGAAGGTCCTTTGAGGTCGACAGGCTCTCTGGGAGCATGCAGGTCCGCTGCCTTGAGGAGTGGGTGAGGCGGGGGGTTGGTGGGGAAGCCCAGTAGTGACGCGGGGGGATGAGGACCCATGGGTAGACCAGCCGGCATCTGCTGTGCATGGATCTGTTGCTGAGAAACAAGGTACTACTCAACAGACTACCAAGTGTACACCACCACCGACACCAACTCTACACTACTCATTTCTTACAATGTGTCTTTTGACAGAATTTGAAACACCAACGGACACATGCGGTGGTTATTGTGTTTGGTAAGAAGAGACTTGATTGAATGTGAGATATTGCATTGTACAATACGAGGGCGGTTTATTGGGGGCCGTTTTTGGGTATAAATACGTCGCCGCAACAAAGCTCTTCGCCCCTTACTGACATCATTGATGATCAAAACGGCACCATTTGCAACTCTGAAGATGGCATGTTCGCTTCACTGAGTCTTCTTCAATTTTTGTAAAATATCGAATCTTCCACCATGTAGGCCTACGAGAAAAGGTCAGAGATACATTTTTTTACCACAGCAAACAAGCAAACTACGGATTTATAAACAAAATAAGCGCTTACTTAAAAAACCGCCCTCGTATTGGCACTATGAAGAGTTTAACTAGGAAATTAACCAATTATCTCAACAATAGCCTAAACTATTGCATTGTAACTATATTTTAGAAAAGTGGCTAGATAGAAACTAGTAATTGTTCAAAAGAACTCTATACAGTAGAACCTCAATAACTTGAACCTTGATTTCTCAATTTTTTTTATTCTTTATAATTTTTCATACCTTTATAAGTCGATGTTTATACGATATGCATCAACAGCTAGAAGATTTACCATAGTGCAAGTCAGCTGTGATTTGATTCCTTTTGAGAAATGAAAATAAATCTCTCATTATTTATTTGGTTATGGCTGCCAGTTATTGAGATTATTTTGTAAGCATCAGACAATATGTTGTCAGTTAAGCGTAAGAGTATAACGTATAAACACAACAAAAATAGAAGAGAAATTAAGGCAGTTGACGATGTGTGGAAAAAAATGTGAAATCACCAGGGAATTTAGAATTTAGAATTCCAACTAACATTTGACAAATTTGAAAAACCGAGGAAAATATGAGGCTGAAGGTGCAATAATCAAAAAGAAAAGATGGTAGGAATTGTGAGTTTAAGCACATGGATGAATGTGTTTTAACGTGGTTAAAACAGCGTCGGGATAAAAACATTCCTTCAGGATCGATTTTGCAAGAGAAGATGTTGCTATGCCGTTTGTATGCATGATAAATTGTATTTTATTTTGTTATCCTTCAGAACGAATGAAAAGCTTGAGCTTCATTTATAAAGGCTTTGCGTGTATAAGTCGAGTTAAAAAGGCCGTGACGTAACATCACTGGCAGAATCCAACACCTCGGTATCTCAAAATTTTCATTTCAGCACATTCATAACTTGAACCTCGCTTACTTAACCCTTAGAGTGCCAGGCGAGAAATAAAAGTAACGCTCAAAAAATGCCGATGATTTTTCCCGAAGGTCGCGCTAAAAATGCCGAGCGCGATCTGGCGATTTTTAGGTTAAAATTTCGTAAAAATTGAATTTTCGATATTTTGACCAACGAAAATCGATGTATCGCATCTAGTAACTTTCGACTCAATGTTAATATATGGGTTAAAAGAATCCGAGTATCCATTCGGTTGTTATGACAACTGTTCGATCATTACGAAACGTCCGGTCAGCCGGACGTTGGCACTTTTGGCTCGTTCTAAAAACGTCCGGTCGGCCGGACGTCGGCACTTTTGGCTCGTTTTAAAAACGTCCGGTTCCCCGGACGTTGGCACTCAAAGGGTTAAAAAAACTCAAAACCTCGAATCATACCGCTTTCAGAGTCGAGATATCGAGGTCCTACTGTAATATTATATTTTTATTTTTAAATGCTCAGGTACACTTAAAAGCTATCTTTCATGCAAGCATGCATCGGCTATTGGTAAAATCAAGGTTTTTTGAAAAATACTAAAGTCAATACAACTGAAAATATTATCTACTTGGAATTATTGTCTGTGCACTAATAATTATTTAGTTCAATGAAATAAAAAAATTAAGGGGTTGCTAATAGTGAATCAAACCACATTAACCCTGGTTCAAATTTTAATTACTTCTACTCGAATAGTCAATAAAAAGATACTATTAATTAATTGTTTTTTTTTTATTCAAATCATTCAAATATACTACACTGAAAATACAAATGAAAAGCTTTTTCATCTCTCATTTCTCAACGATGAGTGTATACTTATTTTGAACACAAAATGTGTGTTTCAAACATCCAGAAATCACAAGTTAATTCTTTCTTGAGTTAACTGCAAATGGTTTAAGGTTTTTTAAGGAATAGGGCAGTATTGACCTACCCAAACAAGAGTATGTCTAATGCATTGGTAAATTGAACAGATAAAATGATGAAAAAATGAAAACTCACCAAAAGTTGCTGTAGACCCTGTTGCTGCTGTTGCTGGAACAACACACAACTGCTTAAAACTGAACATTTCTACGACTCGCTGATAATATTTTACGCATACAATCATCTCCTACATTGTTTATTGTAGTAACATTAAGGTTCCCCCAATTACATTTTGATATGCCCATAATGCAAAGCTATACAGGACCTCAGAGTTCTAGAGTGGTGTGAGTTGTACATTCCAAAATCGTACAGATGTTTACTAAAAACTCATTTGGCTGTGGTTATGAAGTTGATACTGTTGAGAATTAACTGAATACATTTAAAATTAACGATAGCCTTGTTTTTGTGCACCTTGTTTAACAAATAAAGTACCCAATGATCAATTCCTCGCACAATATTTTAAAGTAACAAAAGGTAATAAAAATTTAGAAAACTGAAAACTTAAATCCACTTGTTAAATCCACTTTTCTAAAAAGTGTTTGATCTTACACTTAGCTACCAATGTTTACAGCCTTGTCTACTTGAATGTTAAATATTTAACTACTGTATACATCTATGTATACTGTATACAAAAATTAAACCTATAAGACAAATTTCTCATGATCTTAACCTCCATAGTATGTAGATTTCAAAACAGAATGATGTGAGATGTGCAGAATTGTGTACTTTTAATGACTAAGATCAGATAAACAGCTGATACACAAACATAAACATACAGTGATAAACAGCTGATTTAGCCAGGACTGTTTATTAAAACCCAATGATCAAGAACAGCTGGGTCCAATTTCAAACCATCAAAAAACTACTACTTCCTTTCGATAGAATTGCACACTTATGGTTTTGTTGAGCTAAACACTCACCTACCCTAATATAAAGGGGGGGGGGTGCTATATGTAAGTGTCTTTTCTAATTAGGAAAGTTGGTTATGTTGAACATCCTGTACAGGACATATGCAGAAAATGTCGCAAATCCGGTAAAAAATTGAAAATTTGTAAATTGGCTATTCAGTTTTGGAACAGTCTTGTCTCTAAGCACATTCAAGACATCCTGTATATCTCGTAGTGTGTGTATTTACTTGCTAGTAGTACAGTATAGTACGTACCCCTATGATGGCGTTCAGTTCTGTCATGGTGACTTGCTTGGCTCGCTCCACGGCTGTTGCCACCTGCTGTTGGTGCTGCAACAAACACAAACCAATTCTCAACATCTTAAAATTAGACTTGTTTACTATGTAGCCCTTTAAAATAGTACCAAGCTTAAAGCAAACTCAACTTAAAAACCATTTAACACGTTGAGTGCTGATGACAGGAATTCACGCCATTGCTTAACATTGAAATAAATACAACTTTTATGTTTAAACATTTCGACCATACTAATAATGTTAACAAGATTTATGCTAAACATTACTATTTTTATAGTGTTTTCAATAGGTTTAAAAAGATAGAATATACATATACAATATCAATTTGATGTTCAAATATGATAAAACATATTCACCCTTCAGAGCCTATGTTAAAGCATAGACGAAAAGAACTAAATATAGACCGTCAGCTGTGCTGCGGTTACCATAGGTTCTGGCACACACCGCTGGGAGTGCCATGTAGTTACGGCCTACCCACTACGTAACTACACGGCGCTTCCAGGGGTGTGCGCCAGAACCTATGGTAACCATTGTAACCGCTGCACGGCTGACAGTCTATATTTAATTGTTTTTGTCTATAGTTAATAGGTAGGAATATATCGCTGACATATTACCGGTGATTGTCGACAATGCCTTTTTATTCAATAACACACAATAACCATTAAAATTTGGACTGTAAGTAATAATACAGGTATGACTTTTACTTTAGGATTGAGATTGAGATTAACTTGACAATGAGGTGGGACGTATGTCCATCCTACAAACAAATTACATACATTTAAGTAGTCAAACTACATACCTCTTGGGCTAGGAAGGGTAATACTTGAGCTATGATGGCGTTGAGGCGTTTCGCAATTTCAGTCTGGAACAAAGATTATTGAAGATGAAACAAACAGGAAGTTTTTCTTTTAGCTCTGACAATACTTCTCTTCTGTAGCAATTATAATTAACATTTAAGTTAACTGTGACTTTTGATAAATTTAACACCCACACAATTGATGGAGTCACTAAAAGGATGTCTATGACTGATAAATTGAAATTTATTTTAGTGGAAATTTTACAAATATTTGTGAAATTAGTGATTTACAGAGAAGCTAAAGAAATATGGCAAATTTTGGCTGAAATAATAATTTTGACATAGCATTCAGTCTGTCCATTTTTTCCTACTGGTGCCTTGCCACAAACCGCCATAGAATTATATGGTGGAATCTTTATTCTAGAAAAAAAAATTAATTTTAAACATTTTGTTTGTTAGCTTATGCATCAATTGAACCTCATCGACAAGTTTTTTTTTTTAAACTTGGCAAGGCCAAGCTGTTGAAATTTCCATAGTACTAATATTATAAATGTGAAAGTTTGTATGTTTGTTTGTTTGTTTGTTTGTTTGAAGTTCAATCACGCATAAACCACTGGACGGATTGGGCTAAAATTTGGCATGATGATAGCTTACATTCCCGATTAACATATAGGCATATTCTTATCTCAAAAATCCTTTCGGGCTCCGCCCCAGTGGCTCTGTAATTCCCCATGTTAACCTTATGAGTATTCATATTTAAAGGGAATTAAAGAATTTAATCAGCTGTTTCAACTAAAAAAAGTTGGTTCTATGATATGGAAAAGCATTAAAAAGTTATAAGATTTACCAACAGGGTGCAGCACTATATTTTTTTGCATTTATGAAAACAGCTAATTTGAACTAAGTAGCAACAAAAAACTGTGATTCGCAATGAGAACTGTCAAAGTAGGATTGTTTACAGTTATGTTTATGTTTTTCATTTCATGAATAATTTGTGATATTTTGCGAGTTGTTGATAATTTATTTGTCTCTATTGTTTAGGTGAAGTGGTAGAACATTATGGCTATGGTAGATGTGTAATACAATAGAATACTGTAAATTTAAAAAAGCAAATTTTATCAAACTGTGTCCTCCCTTATTGCAAACGCAAAGCTTGAGTATAACTGCAATAAACATTTTATACTTATATTCCAACCCCGTACGAAGGACGGGTACTCTGCTAGTAATATATATGAACTAGGGGAAACCCGTCGAAATCGACGGTTACTTTCAAGGCTTACGTTAATTCATCTAACTGCGATCAATTGGGTGAAATATACATATTTTGAGCATTTAGCATTGTTTAAAGGGTAGTAAGTGTGAAAACAATAATGATTTTAATTGCGTTAGTTTCCAAATTTGGTTGATCATTCAATGATTAAAATATTTCCCATACCGTACGTCATTTGACTCATCGGAGTTATTATTAGTATGTTATATGATATCTCTTCCTTTGGAAGAACCTTTAAATAGTATTAAAATCGTATTGGTGGGTCTTTTGTAGTTAAACACTTCTGTGATTTCATCAGTGTAATATGATTTGATTTGAAATGAAAATATTTTTTGGGAAGAAATGTTCTAACTTCAAAGGGAGGTATGTCCGTTACAGTGTAAGTTTGATTTTTCCTTCGTCACGTCGCGTCAGTTCATATCGTACTTCTGTGCCAATGAATGAACCCTCTAGCATAGTTATGAGAAATTTATTGTGGGGTTACTGTTAAAGCTGGAATTCCTTGACATGGGGGATGTCAGTTAGTTGTCTCAGCCTTATCAATAACATAAAGTTGTCAATATAATCTATCTACGGAATGATAGGTGTAGTGGAATACTTGAAGTGAAGTTGGCTTTTATTCTTAAACTGTTAGGGACCTCCTAGTTTATATGGTCTTGCGGCTTCATTGGCAACAAATAATGCAAATGACATAGCAATGGGACATTTCCAAAAAGAAAAAATACTGTAAATTGGCTGTTGCGTATATATTGACGTTTACATATTGTAAATCAACGTATCTTATAAAGGAATATGAGGTCTAGTTTAAAAGGAATATGACCTTTCTGTCATGACAGTAGCTGCTAAAATAGTATTTTCTCTTTGTACCATATTTTACAGCCAAAATGTCGTGTTATTTTCAATAATGTTACCAACCCAGTGCGCCAAAGTCCGTAATATAAGCAGGTGCAAATAATTTGTCAAGATGGGTACCATTTTAGGCAATGTTTCTATGTTTGGATTTTATTAGACACGATAAGAGCAGATATTTCTACATGAATATTTGATACTAGCTGTGTGCCCGTTCTACGCACGGGGGATCTTATCATAGTCAGTTAAAACCTTCTTATATAAAGCACAGCAGTTGGTTTGCATACCTTCAGATATGCTGACAAAACTATTCCTTCGCAAATACAGTATCTGACAGTTTCAAGCCAAAACTAATGCTTCGCAATTAAATGTCACCCGGATCTTGTTGGTCCATATGTTATATCCAATGATTAAACTAAATAAACGGTATCAGCATTCTGACACATACTTTCTCCCATAAGTTTGTCAACAACCTTTATCATGTGTAAGCGGTGAGAGTAAATATATGGAAATGGGATTTGTACAATTTTGTTCAGAATTTAAAGGACTATAACATAATGGTTAAAAGTATTTAAGGTACTACCTCAACCTCTTAATTTAACACTTTATTCGGGTTGACATTTTCATTATCAAGGCGCTCTTGTCCTTTCCGTGAAACATTGAGAAACAAGGACATTAATGCGTTACCATCATACATACACACAAAAATACCGAACTTAATTAGAGAATCTGCTACGCTTTAAGCATAAAAAGGTACATATAAAATTAGTACTTGAAATCTTTGTTAATGCCATAAAATTTGATCACAACAATTTATATTTGCTTGGACCGGAGATGACTCGAAATTCTGTCGAAATGCTATCTGAATCGGTTTGCTATATGAAATTAAGTACAGTAGGCCTACTATAGACGATTTAGATTGGTAATTTGTAATAAAAATTACCAAAATAGGCCACGAACTATTGATACATAAACAACGTTCAAAGTGTTTGAACAATTCATGATGGTTTGCTGAATAAATGTTTTACTAAAATGCGTTATAGTTATCTTAGCATAACATTTTGGAATCAAGACAGAAAAAGCAAAAATTATACAGTTAAGACATCAATTAAATTGAATAGGCCTACGCCGCTACGCCTGTAATAAATAAGGTGCAACACCAACGATAACTAATTTGTAAATTACTGTGATGTGTTGGTACGTAAAAATGATTCTTGCTGCTACTAAAGGTTAGAAGGAAAAGAACCAGTACCGTACCAAAACCCAACGTTTACAGTTAAGAACTGTAGTACAGCCGACCAATTATATGGGTTAATCAAGGTTATTGATCTCTTGGTTTTGGATTTTCTCATAAAAAGTTATCGGCAATCAAAGTTATTTCCCATTAATTGCTTTATTTGTACACAACTCTTAATGTAAACTTATCGGTGTCAGTTTGAAAAAAAAACCTTATACAACATAACTTTCTGTTATTTAATAGATTACGTATTCTCTAAACAATGGTTGCTGGTATATATATTAACATTATAAGGAAATGTGACAAAAATCACACAACGTTGGGTTTTTGGACGTTTATAATTTTATTTCTTAAGTACCTAGGTAGGCCGTGTATTCTATGGAAAAGTACCGGTATCAAGGATCGTTGTCGAAAGGGTTGTTATAAATAATTGGGTAAGCATACGTACCACACGTACCCAAGAGAAGGGCTATGGGCCTATTGGCTGTATGGTCCAGCGATTGCATCACACGGTGAGTAGGAACTATTGACTTTATATAGTCAATGGTAGGAACAGAAAGTGACACATTGGAAAATCGAGTTCAGCATCATCCGTAAACCTCTGTTACAATCACCCACTGCAGTTTTAAATTTTTGCTTTACACTTTACACAACCGCCATTGAAGAGCAGTTAATGAGTGGAACATTGTTTCTAAGCTATTGGCGACGGTCATTAGTAAATTTAAGTTTCCCAGGCGTATACAACACTGATTCAATCTTGATTCAATGTCTTCTTTCTGGTTATCAAAACTCCAAAACAATTTTATACACATATTTCTGGTTCCTGACCTGGATGATGCCTAGTTATTTAATTTACGGTTACACTATATTATTCCACTTGCGATTAATTAAATCCTTTATGTAATAAAAACGTTTTTAATCTCACTTGGATGGGATTTGCCTTCAAAACGTGATCGGAAATGGTTGTGGTGTTTGTAAACAACATTTGTAAACATTTCAGTGACAGCTAGAAAAAATAATCTTGATCCGAACAGCTGTTCGTTGTTTCATAGATGATTATGTGATACAAAATGGAAGAAAACTTGACAAAAATCGCACAAAACTGCATTTTTGAACGGCCGTAATTTTAATTACAAAGTAGTGAGACCATATTTTAATGGCTAAAGACACTCTCGCCAATCCAGTGAATACATTAAAATGACTTGGGTCTTGATAGGTACTCTCGTTTTCCTAGAGAAGATTGCGTAAAATGCCATCTTGAGTGTGTCAGACAGACAGACAGACAGACAGACAGACAGAAATTTAGATGAGACTTGTTTCGGCTTCTTTAATGTATAAAACGTAAAAATAACCTAAAAATGTATGATTCTGAGCAATGTACAGACAAAACAATAATTTTATTTATATAGAAGATGTGTAGAATAATATGATAAAATTTAGGCAAAAGTGGTGAAAAAGGCAGACACCAACCCGTACAATAGATATAAGATAGTTCAATAAGAAATAATTTAAGAATTTCCGTGACCAAAGGATTTTCCACTGATTTCGTAATAGAACGTTATATTGCAAAACATGACATGATAAAGAGGAAAATATATTTTAAAATCAGAAAATAACATTGCAAATACTTATTTGGTACAATTCAGTAACCCAATAAATATGTGTGGTTTGAAATACAATTTAAAAATGAACAGCTGTTTTAATAAAAAGTATTATTCACATGGCCAAAATGTAAACAACTCTGTGGAGGGATCTTTAAAGGCTTCTGGGGCAGAGCCCTAAGGGATTTTGCTTAGTTTTTCTTTTGATATCTCATCTACAGACCAAGACCTTTCTTTGGACACCTCTACCAAGTTTCTACGCCCAGCCGTTCTCTCAAATTAGTGGGGACAAAGTTTCCAATGAAATATTTAAATTCCCCCATGTTAATCTTATGGGAGAAAATCCAACTTTGATGGCCTGTGGCGCTGTGGGGCAAAGCCCGAGGATTTTTATTACATGAATTGGTGAAAGGGGGCGTCTACACAAAAAATACTTTATTTTGACACGTCGTTTGTAAAAATCCGTCCATTATTAACGGAGGAGTAGTGTTTTCAAGAAATCGCCTTCACGTATTATATATAAGGATTTGAACTGAAGATTCTACGTTAACTTATTATTAAATATACATAGTATGGCCAATTTGGAACATGTCAATTCCATTGAGAATTTGGGGACATTTTGCACTAACTAATCTGGTTGATTAGCGTTATACTAATCAATCAATCCTTTTATTTTACTAACCAGAACAGTGTTAATAAACCTTGCCAGTAGCTTCTTTACAGTAAATACAACAAACAACAGATGTTAATTTGCAAAGTAGTAGCAACAGCTGTTTAGAACACCTTCATTTATCAGGTCTTAGTGGTTTTGTAAAGGAAATCAATATTGGAAGTGCATTTCAATATTATTGCTGCCACTGCTTTTAGCTGAAATAGTGGAGTATCAATTGGAGTAACTAAAACTACTACTGTAGTTAAGTTTCCTTGATAGTTTGTGAGTTAAATGTTTATAAAATTCTCTCATTATTAGATGAGCTTACTGATATTGTTAATAAATATTATATAAACTCACCTGCTTGTGCATTTCCACATTTAACCCGTATGACATTTCATAGTACTGCAACAAAGATACATAAACTATTATAATAGCAGAGTTGGCGGTTAGTTGTGGAAATTATAAATTACTATAGGATTCAAGAGCTTATAACAAATATATGCTATATGATTGAATCATCTAGTCTGGATATTATATTGCAGCAAGAAAGTTTAGAATAAAAAATAATAAGTTTGAAATTTTAAAAAATTAATCAATTGCTAAAATCTATACAATGTTACTAATCCTACTATTAATCTCCTCAAATACAGCTAAAAATATATTTTTTTTAGAAATCATATTAGAATTTCCCACAAAATAATCTTATTACCAAATCAATCAAACACTTCCGAATTGTACATTTTATAAATTTGTATTGCATCAACTATCAATCAATATTAGTATGCCTATTAATTAATCAATGATATAGTACTACGTGATAAAATTATTACATATTCTGAGCAATATTGCAAAAATATTTTATAACATTATTCATCAATAACATAAATTAACTTTTTTTTAATATATCCCATAGAAATGCATACAAAATTATGTAATTACATTATTTTTTTATAAAATGTATCAAGAAATAATGTACAGTTATGATATTGCATGAAAATAATTTAAAGATGTATTCATAAAACGATAAGAAAATATCAACGCAAAATAGAGTAGGGACAGTAAATAAACAAATTATAACAAATAGGATATTCTCCTCTCCACCTCATAAAAATAATCAAACCTTTTTGCTAGTAAAAAAATCAAACTTTTGAAGTAAATTGGCAAATCAATTACAACTTACCATAACATAATGCCTCTGCATTTCAGTCTTCTCACTAACAAGTTTTTCACACTCCAATTTAAGCCTGTAAAAACAAGAAAAAAATTCTGAAGCATAACATACAATGGAAGTAATAATTCTACTTGCTTCAGGTAGTCCTGATATTTAAGGTTCTATAGGGGAATGCTATTGAAGTTGACTGGAAGGGATACAAAGTTATAAGATGATTTAAAAAAAAAATACCCCAACCGCAGCAAACCTGCAGACTAATTGGATTTACATTAAAATGTCTCCATTAAAATATCTCATTTATTCCCTATTTAAAAAGTACTTTAAAGAGTACTTGGGTTTGCTGAATACAAAGCTGTGGATAAAAGCTTAGAATATAATCTACAGGCAAATAATAAGCCCTGTGAATACTAAAGTAAATAAAAAAAAAAATTATTTAAAATTACTTTTAAATAGATTTAATTCAATAAGTTAATTATATTTTAACCAACATTGCCAGTAATTTTTAAATAGATAAAATCAAATCATAGCAAAAATAGTTCACATAAAACACTTTACTTTGTCCTAAAAAATTAGTTCAAAAGATTAAATAATCCAAGTGGCAGAAGGGTTAAGAGTGTTTAAATTGTAAAGATAAAATACATATTTTAGGAAGAGAAGTTTATCTGAGAGAGAAAAGGAAAAGAACTAGTGAGTTGGGTGGTTTGATTGGTATGTGGGCAGAGTGTTGTGGAGGGGGGATGGGAGGAAGTGGGGGAGGGTGTGAGAGAAGGGGGTGGAAGATTTATATTGGCACAAGTTTTATCTGAGGTAGCACTGTGTTGGATTTCTGTAAAGTACTATCACTGATCTTTGCAATTTATTTTACTAGAATTTTATAATCAACTATAATGTTTTATGTTTTAATGGAACTATTAAAGCCTACTTTCTGATTGGAAAATGAGTGGTAAATGTTACAGGCTGGAACCTAAATCCTAATAAATTAAAATTCCAGTTTGCAGGATAAAAAATGTAGGCCACTTAGAAAAATATTAGCCTACTTCTAACGGTCCAGGGTTTTTTATTAATTTTTTTTCAAGTAATGTGCCTGAATAAGTGACTGACTTAAATTTTGTAATGAATAATATTTTATACAACAGTCTGTCTAGCTGTTAGAGATACGAACTTAAAACGATAGAATATCGCCAAAAAGGTTCTTGATCGGTTATTTTATTTTGTACCAATTTTAGATTGTTTCTCTAAGAACCCTAGAGCATGTCGATGCAGTATCTTCTATTCTGGAAGGGATGATTTGATTTAAATCACTTATACCGTGCATTGTTACTGTACTTGAACTCTCGATTTTAGTTTACCTCTTCAAACAGTAGGCTATGTTATGTCATGTTTTTTACAGTAATATTATTATGATATCCACATTCAACTACTGTAACGCCTTTTTTTATCATAGCATCAATTTCGTAGTTTACTTTAAATATTACCTACTAGTATCCCAATACATTAATATAATCGTATTGAAACCATTTTAAATCATGGATTTATAAGTCGAGCATTACAGTTTCTTATGTCATTTCTGTCATTAGAGTTTAAAAATTTCATATAGCAATTTTTCATTGGTGACTAGCTTTCTAGTGAAAACTAGTGATTACCTGACGATAAGTTAATTCACATCATTTCTAGCCAGTAAAAAATCGTACAAAAATGTCCAACTAAACGCTATACAACCATAGATGAAGTTATTTAAGTAATGATGGTGTTTATTTATTCTATGACAACTACCAAGGTATCTACACTATAACAACGGTGAGGTGGAAGTGGTACTTAAAACTATAACACCATTTTAACGAAGTCATACTTAAAAATTCTTATCTTATGAAATTGAAAATATTTCAACTCACTTGATCTGTTTAACTTTGTTTAGGATTTATGTAGAGAATTGAATTGGTTTCTTGCACAGTTGGTTGGAGTCATGTTTTCATGCACAGTTGCCAAATGCATTTATTCACTTAATACTGTATTTTATTTTATTTTATTTATTTTATTTTATTTTACCTTCCAACGGTCAAGAACCAATTTACAATAATATGTTGTATAAGATGACTTATTCTAACTTAAACATATACATACAAAAGTATTTTTGACAAAATGACATGCAGTAAGTTTCAGTAAGTTGTATTTCCTCATATTCAACCTAACGTTTTTATTTAAATATTTATTAAAATCCTTCCACAGTCATTACTTACAACATTCAGCACGAATGTGCTAGCCAACATAAGAATATTCGCAGTCAAATCCTAATGGCGTTTTAACCACTCGAACCTTTAAAACCCAAGTTGGGAGGGCGCACAAAGTCACAATAATTGTTAAAAAGGGTCAGATAAAGACAAAAAGCCAATTAGGCCAGCTCGCTCAATACCGAGTTTGGGGGGGGGGCGCAATTTTCTACTTTTTCTCGCGTGTGTGGTTTCGGGGCTGGACATCCCCGTACGAGGTAATCTTTTACCCCCTCCCCTCCCCCCGGGACCTGACGCAAGGCGGCCTTGCCTGACGTCACGAATGGGATTATTGGAACTGAACTGCGGAATGCTTGAACTGAACCATCAGTCTTTTAGCACCCTCAGCCTTGGGGAACTTCCAGAGTGAGACTATATACAGAATATATATAGTACCGAAGTTCACTGTTTTTACTGACTAACCAATAGAGTACGAAATTACAAATAAAAGTTGCATTTTATTTGTTCAATTTCGTTGCTCTAATTTGTAAGACAAAGTTATCCGCTGTAAATCAATGCAGCTCGTAAATATATCTGTATATTTTATCGTAAAGACTATTACAATATTTCGACTTATCAAGGTCAACATTCGATTTATAACATGTTAGCATGTTTTTCAATAGTGTATGTATTAACGTACATTATGACAAGCGAAACCGACAAAAGAACGGTTAATCCATGTACTGAATCAGTTCAGACAGTTTTTTTGTGAAATTTTGCTTTTAAAACCATTATTTTTTATCTGAAACTGACATTTTCTTGTAAAAAAACAGAAAATCTTTATTGAAATACTGTAAGGCCATTTTTAAACTAAACTAATTAATTATCAATTCAAAAGTAAATCAAAAGAATAGACAACAAATTGAATATAGACTGTCAGCCGTGCTGCGGTCACCATGGTTACCATAGGTTCTGGCACACACCGCTGAGAGCGCTGCGTAGTTACGTACCGCGTAAGCCGTAACTACATAGCACTCCCAGCGGTGTGCGCCAGAACCTATGGTAACTGCAGCATGGCTAACGGTCTATATTTAATTCTTTTTCTCTATGATCAAACATAGAGGCACTCCAATAGATTTGATAAACGTTTAAAGATTAAATACAGGATCAAACTTACGTATGGTTCTGGGCTTGTAGGAAGTTGAATTCCTCTTTGATTCGCTCGCAAGTCTCTGCTATAGTGAACTTGAGTTGGCCCGGGTTAGGTGGAGCGCCCTGGAACAAAGAGTTTCGGTTAGAATATTCTGGCGTCCACCGCTAGGAGTGCCGTGTAGTTTCGGCACACACCGCTGCAGCGTCAAGCGCGCTATTTGTAACATAGTACTGTATACACTACATCTATTATCTGTGAAGCTATGGATTTGCGGAAGCCAGTATTATTGTCAGGGAGAACAGTGCAATAAGCCTTTCTTAGGTAATTGTTCAAGATCTACTTCATCTTTTAGTATGTCATTTTAGGATAGTTGATGGGAAACAAAAGGTATAGTTCCGTTTGGCATGATTTAAAATTTGGTGTGTAAAATAATGAAACGGTATTTTACAGTATTACACTCTGTCGTTGGTTCAAAGTTTCAACTAAAGTTTTATTCTAAATTGACTATTTTTTAATCATTGAAATTAGATGTTATGTTCTCCCCTACAGACATCCGTATTTTAAAGATTTTGGATGCATTTACAGACAAATCCAGCCTCTGACACAGACACACCAAATGATTATATTTCAAACCAACCTTCAATAGGTCAAAGACGTTTCAAGAGATTAACAACTCTCACAAATTAAATGGGGCCTCTTATAATCTGTGACACGGATTTGAAAAAGATGACAAAAACAGGACTAGGGCGCGGCTGAGGGTTTGAATAGCCAATTAGATGAGGGTCTTATTGTGATATGCAGCGACCGTGGGGTGTGAACAGTGTGGGGTAGTGGGGTGTCAGACATACGCGCAGACACACACACACACACACACACAGACTAGCGGCGATGAAATTAAGTGGGCCGTGGAATCTACTAGTTGGTGTGAAATGGGGAAATGGCGGAATCACTTATTTATTCCTTTAAAACACACTGTTACACACATAACTACATCCATAGGCAAGCATGTTTCTTTAAAACCTTCTTCCTCAGCTCGTATGCATCGCAGGTAAAATCCAGGCATACTGTTCGAAAGATATTTTCCCTGTAAATGTACAGAATCTCTTTTTAAATTAAAATAAGCACAAAACAGAATTTAAAAACAATTCACATGGCCCTTATGGGTTGCCATGCTGGTGACGACATACAACGAAATGTAAACAGAAAATCAAAACAAATGGAAGAAATTTCAATCAAATGTTTTATTTACAGCTGGGGTGAAAACAGAGAAGTCTGTACATTGTATATTTTTGGTCGAGTTTTCGACCACTGTACGACCTAGTATTTTTAAATATATAAGCTAAATGTTTTCTTGCACCTGAAATTAGTGATGTTGTGAGAAGTGTGTCTGTATTTGTTGGTGCCATAATTTATTTACTAATTGGTGGTTGTTCCAATTTCGTGTTTCGATTTGTCAAAGTCAAGTCAAAGTCAAAATTATTTATTCCATAAAATAAAAAAACAATATTACAATACATTGTAAGTAAAAGGAATTATTCCCCCGAATAGACTATTGATCCGTGATCGGGGGAAGAGTTAACAATATCATCAGTCTATGGGTATTGTAAAATTGTTCGAGTCACTGCACTTTTTTATTTTAAGCACATAAACTAAATAAATTGTGATTTTATAGTACCTAGTTTTATCACTGATATTTGCTTCTTAAACAATTAACTCAATAACACGTTTATTGAACCAATTATAGACCTATTTACATGAATTGGTTACGTCAAAATAGTATAATAAACAATGCCATTTAACTTGGACTATTAAAATAACTTAAAACATAATCTTTACAAATCATTTTGTTTCCAAGGATAATTCAGAATCTAGTTGTCAGTCAGGAAGTCACGGACGCTGTAGTAGCATTTATTTAATAGAAATTTTAACTTCCTTTGAATTTCAGATGGTCTGACTCTGCCTTTAGATGCGTTGGAATGAAGATATTTACTGCATTGTAACGGAGATTTTTAAGGTTGTATAGTGGACAGGGACCGGGAGATTATAAGAGGTTTTAAATTATAATCATGTTTATGGGAAATATTTAACTTGTCGATGTTTTGTTTTAGGAATGACAAGGTTTTGTAAATGTAAAGGGATGGAAACGTTAAGATGTTTAAAATTAAAAACCCGTCCACTTATTCTTATAACCACATTAGTTAATCATTCACCGATTGTGTTGTCTACATATACAAATTGGCGTTGAAAGAATAAATAAGACTATTAACACAGTTTTGATTTAATTAAGACAAATTCTTAAGAACTGGTAGTTTAACAAATTTAAATTAGAATTAGTTTTTCGATATATTCTGGAGGCAAAAATTAGGGGTTCATTCCAAACATTCCGTATCCACTATAAAACAATACAAGTATAAAACCATTTACAGATTAATTTTGCTTAATCAAATCAAAACAATGCTTTCCCAAACATTCCCTCAAGAGGGTAAATGCAAACCAAATGCTATTACAAGACATTATTCAATCATTCATCAAATATAAGTATTCCTCATCTTTCCACTCAACACTCATAGGATTTACTAAAACATGAGTTGTAAAAATAAAGATTTTGCCAGATTCCCACGTCATAAAATACAATACGCTTCTAAAAATGGGAAATTAAAGTGGTTTTCCTCATATTAATGTGTAAAATAACCGAACATAACCAACACGATGTTGATAATTCCACACGAAATAGGTAATGGAAATATTTTCATCAGAATAATTCCATGAAACCAACATGCAGAGACATACAACAACCAACAAAGACAGACAGATGACACATCCCCCCTCTCACTCTCATGAACCAGCAAGACTAACCCCCGAACTTGCGGGATTATGTGGGGGTGCGGGGGGTTACTGAGGGGGGTATATGATCGACCTACCCGTCACACTAAACACCTCCCCCCTAGGAGCTTGGTTGCCGCTAATATTTGTTTCAAAGACTGAACCGAGCTCCCCTTCGCCGAACCCCCCCCCCCCCCCCCCCGCCCAATAATAGTCCTCACCCTGTTGATTACCTGTTCATTAAACTCTGCTGCCATTGATACTTTAGATAATGTATATTGTCTATTTCTATACGAATATTGTACCGCGCAAGTGTAAAATGTACAACAAAACTGATGTGTCGGTAGAGGTGTCTAAAATAGGAAAATATGAAAGTAAATTGATTTGAGCTTATCCAAAGTTCTAAATATACATATTATTATATACATAAAGATATTTTACTTCTACTAGCCTACTACAAAAATACAGTACTAGGATAAAAAATAGTCATTGCAAGTCCGTACAACACCAGTTTTTCAGGTTGGGCCTATAAAATACACAAAATTTGAACTATTGGGGTAGCTGAATTTTATCCCCCTGGAATTTCACCCCCTGAGCAAAACTGACGTCACAAACCAGGGGGTAAAATTCCGGCGACCCGAACGATTAAGGGGCATTTTTTTTAAACTAGACAGAATCATATAAAAATTAACTCTTTCACAAAAGACACCCAACATCTGAGCTAAAGATGTAAGCTTATCAAAATTTTTTCTGAAGAAAGAAAAACAAAATTCGAGACTTAACAGCACACAATGAAGAAGAGATAAACAACTTCAATTTTTTTAAATTTTAAACACTAAGCAAACGACATAAAAAAAGTTAAGTTTAAATTTTTGTTTGAAGAAATCACTTGCAACTATTCTAGAATGTTTATTACGTTTATTTTAAACGTAAGCATATTATTTCAAAATTGTATTTTTCATCAAATATCTTCGTCGTAGATAACGTAAAAATAAATTATTTCCAACGCTGTCAGCGATAAAAAGAAACACATTCACTTACTATTCGTTGGTATAAGAAGGTCAGCCTTTGGAGATGTTCAGGTATCTGGTTTTTAGGACTGTTCCACTTGATCAAACGCCACAGGTTTAACTGAACTCGCAGTAAAGCCATCTTCTTGCGCACCATATCTGTCGTGATCCTGGGGTCCCTACGACGGAGCGCGTTGGCGATCCGCCCCAGCGCCCGGGCCCGTCCTGGCTCCACCATCTTGGGTAGGAGGAAGTTAGGGGTCAGCAGTAGCAAACCACGTATACTTTTATGAGGTTAAATAATTACACATAGGAAAAGCTAGACTAGAAAAATGCCGATTTTTTACATAAACGTGGTAATGAATTTAGACGTTCTCTTTTGGGTCTGACCCATAACGCCGAGCTACGTTTTGGTGCCAACGTTTCGAAGACGTTTAGTGTTTCAGTACAGGATTTTAAATTATTGTTACACTTTTGAAACTCTATAAATGAAAAAAAAAATACAACCGATCATCACGGGGTGAGAATATATTGATAGAGGAGTAAAGTTTTGTTTGACACCACTTTGGGAAATATAGTTGCAAAATCTCTACAGACATTTTTAGATTTAACTACGGTTTTAAAATAGTTACACGGATTAAAATATATGAAACTCGCGGCGGATAAAAAGTATGTACACATGAGAATGTGATAAGACATATTGAACAAGATTATTGGTAAATACTATTAGACCTAATGCTTTATGTTCCCCTTCTGGCTGCACAGTATACATCCATTGGATGATTAAAAGTTGTCTTGAACTCCAAAGTACAGAATTTCTTTTTCTCTTCAAGGTTCCTTTAATAGCGGACAGTAATACAGTAACTGAATAGCAAATTATAGAACAAATTGACCCCTAGCGGTATTAGGCCTACTTAAAACTTTTGACAATTCAATTTTCAAAGAGGTTAAAGTGTATAATTAATTCAAAATAGTCAAAAAAGTCTAAAAATGTCTGTAGAGGCTAACTTTGCAACTATGTTTGCCAAAGTGTTGTCAACAAAACTTTAAAATCTCCTCTTTCAATTGAATCTCATCCCGTGATGATATGTTGTATTTTCATTTATAAGTTTCAAAAATCTAACAATAATTTTAAATGAAGTTAATGACTTCACTAACGTCGACAGCACGTACACGCACAGCTCACAAGACAATCAGTTTTGTGAGAACAGTGCAAGTATACATGACTCAAATGTACAATACGTGTTCTATTTCGTTTTGTATTAACTAGTGATCTCATAAATGTCCAA